AAGATCCTTTATAATAAATGGTATTAACTCTGGCGGAAGACATTCTAGCAAATTAACTATATGCATTTTTTATATATGGTTAGATTATTTCAGTCAAAAAATAAGGTTATTGTCGCACAATCTGGCCGAAGGCGCTGTGCATAGCTCAGCAAATTCTTCTGAGCTGGTGATCACTCTGGACTGGCTGGCTTATCATCTTTTTGCGTAAACTCTAGCTCTCGTGCCAATCTATCCAATGTCAATTTAAGACCAATTATATAGGCTTCTTGTCGAAATTCAGATGCAACTCCTGCTAGAAATACCTTTTTAATATTTTTATTCGCATCTTCTATAATATCATCTAAACTTTTCATATTGTGCAAATTACTAGTAAACTCCATACTTTGTTATATGAGCCTATATCTTTAATCGAAAAAAAAATAATATTATTAATGAGCACCCGACTCCAGATATTCACATAGCTTGGAATAATCAAACACGCCTACAACCCTGTCTTGTTTTATATTTTTAACAGTGATAAAACCAGTTGCCCGATCATATGTATGCACATATTTACTCAGATTACATAGTAGCATAAACTGCGTGAGGTTAGTAGTAAACTTACCTATAGTCTTGCACCTGTTATTTCTTGATTTTTTAGCCATTACCAGATAACTTTTCCAATTCAATTAATCCTTTCTCAGAAAAATTATTCCACATTTCGTCTATATCACTTCTTAACATTTTTTCGAAATCTTCTAGTGCCATGTCTTTATATAGATAATAGATTTCTCGGGTGATTCTTTTAAGATTTTGATGTATTTTAGTTACATCATGTTTTAACACTATAATAAACTGAATATTTATCGTGCCTAAACAAAATCTATAATATTTATATTAGTATTATAACTTATCTTTCTGCTTGCATATATGTGCCGTTCACTATCTAGCTTATGTGGGTGAGCTAGATATGTGAGACACACATTCATTTTGATATTTCTCTGGGAGCTTGGCCCTTATAGCTCTTTTTTCGGCCTCTTCATGGAGGATACCATCTTTAACCATATTCTTATAAATCATATTGCGCCAATGACTATATGGTAAAGGGGTAATTCCATCTGATAGAAACCAGTTCTTAGTATCTATGAGGCAGAGTGCCTTTTTCTCTGATTTAACCAGAGATAATATGTAGTCCTTTGATCGGATACCTACATTCTTTGCATAGAATACTTCCTTACCAAAGAGACAGTCCTGATATACTTGGATCATAGGATCGAAAACTTCAGATTGGTCTACTGGATCATCTAGCAAAGTTCCCCCTAAGGATAGAAAATATGTATCAGTTGCCATCTCGCCTATACCTTTTTTATTAACCCCCTTATGTCTAGAATTCGTGGTCTTATTTGCTAAGACATAGTAGTAAGACTTGGCTTAGATATATATAGACTCAGTGATTACATTACCAGGTGTCTCATCCTTGAAAAGGCCTATAGTTTTAGAGTCATTGAAATCGAAGAGATCTGGTCATTCAGCCATATCTTTATAGATATCTTCAGTCTCGACTTAGAATATGAAAGAGTCTGTATCCATATATCTGAGCTTAGCCTTATCCCCATATTTATCTTTAACATAATCATACCAGAAGTGGTACATTAAGAGTTTGCTAAAACCCAAGACTGATGCTCTGACTATGATGGGCTTATTGAAAGTTATGCTGGCCTTTCCCATATGCGCTTCTACTAATATAGGTCCAAGCGGTCTGCCATACTTGAATGTGGGCTTCTGGACTTTATTAACAAATTTTTTCTCATCTCTCTCATTATTCATGGCCATGATCTTGACATCCTGGTATTTGCGAACATTTTCCATAGTCTTGTCATATACCGAGTTATTCATGAGCTTGAAGAAGTCCTTCTCAAAAGCATTCTTTGCATTCTAGCGTAATTTGGTATTTTTTGCAATATATGGGGCTAGCCAGTTAGTCTGGTCGAAGGATAAGATTTCTGTAACTTCATCCACTACCATACCTAGTTTTACATAATATTGGAGTTCTTGATAGTGAATGACATAGCCTTTTCGTAGACCAAGATGTGGAATTAATTTTTCTGTTGCAGAGAAGCGTCTACCATCCATATTATTCACAAGCTCAGTATTATATGGACATAACATATCTTTTCCTACAGCGATATTTTCTACAGCTGGGGGTAAGTCCTGTAAATAGTTGTGGGTCTTTAGGGGGAAGTGTGCATTGATATTTAAGAAATATCCTTGTAGCGCATCTGCCTTAGTTTTTAGAATTATTTCGAGGTATTTCTTTTGCATAGCAGGATTCTTCTTTAAGTACTCCCGACTAGCTACCCACTTATAGCCACCTATAGGCAAGAATTGACTCATAGCCCAACCATAAAGATTGTTTGCATCAATATATGAGACCTAAGTCGTGGGTTGGGATGGATCGAAAGCCTCTCCAATTTTTAGGTTATTTGCTTTGAAGAATCGATGCACAGCCATAGCTATACCACTATGCTTGGCCTTTTCTACAAAGTTATACATAGCCATTTCTGTAAATAGCTCAATCTTAACCTCTGTCATCTTAAGCATAGCATTCCAGGATAAGGATGGTGCAGATACATAATGACTGGGATCGAGCTCATAATATTTCATAGATGTTTTTTGGAATACAGTCCAAATATCTGTAAAACTGAGTACATCTGTCATAAGATAGAGATCATGGTACTCACCTAGATTTTTACATTCAAATTCCTTCTACACTTTCTGGATATGAAGATAATCCTCTTGTGTGATCTTACCACTAAGAACGCCATGAAATTTGTGAATAGAAGGAAGTTCTGTCTCCAAGAATCTTTCGTGAGAATCAATATACTCATAAGGATATACTTCTTTATGACATACTAGAGAAATCTATTCTTCTGTATAACCTAAATTCATAAAATACTTTCTTATTATAGGCCTATCATTACCTAAATTCTTCGCGAGATTTGCCAAGCTAGTATTCATGAACTGTTGGCTATCAATATATTTAAGCTGACCTACCTTCATAGATTTATATCGTTCAAATGTCTTAGCAATGATACTAATCTGATGCGCATTAACTGAATGCCCAATAGATTTACAGACCAAGTGGGAGTCATAGCTCCGGAAGTTGTGAAAGACTACTGGAATTGGAGTCTTCCATGGCTCAATCTGGAGTTTAAGATTGCAGGACTTATGAGAGGCCTCACGAAACTTACCTGTAATATGACAGTGCTCCCAGACTTTATTATCCATAGCCTCTGCTATATCGAGTTGTTTAGCTACTTTAATAATAGCTGATTTTATGGATTTACAGTCTTCCGAATCTTTAGCAGTCTTTTCTAACTTTCTAGTGAACCAAGCAGACTGATTTTCCAAGCATTTAATCTTATCCCTATCTATAGCGAATTTACCTTTGCAGATCCAACACTTATCTGCTTCCTCAAACTTTCTTTTATCCTCATCTGTGATAATTCGCTCGTGCTTAATAGCTAAGACTTTATTGATTTCTACCAACTTCTGATCAATCTGTCGAATAAATTCTTGAGTGACATTTTCTCCATGATATAGAAAGGGTCCCCATATCTTTCCTTAATCGATCCAATGAACTTTATAGCAGAAACTATTGGCCTTTTGCTCTATAAGCTTACGCATGTTACCACCATATGCTGGAAATGGTTTTGGTTTCATTATCCCTCCTGAATAATCCCACTTCTTATTATCTGCCTTGAAGTCTACTATAATAACACATGGAGTATTGATCATTCTTCCATAATTCTTAAACTCCTCGAAATCATTAATATCCTTTAAAGGCAATATGACTAATTGAGGAGCTTCGCCTAATCCTGGACATGAACTTAGATGATATTCTAAAGCATTTTTTGAAGGCCAACTTCAAAAGCATCCATCACATTGATGTTTTTCACCATGATGAGCTGTATCATTAGAAACTAATCCATTCTTATTCTTGATTCAGAGAAAGTGATTCTTTTGCCCATACTTGTCTTCCTTAGATTTAGTAATATCTGTAAGAGCCATAAGATAGATAACATGTTATCTTTTAAAATTCTTGCTGGCAATTACAGGTTTAGGCCATGCTGTTTTCTTATTCCATTCCCAAACATTAATGGAGATATCAGGATTCATCTCCTCTATCTTATTAAATATTCGTAGGCAGACAGGTGTGGGCATTGGGATACCATCTAGCTTGGTCTTCTCCAAATATTTTCGAAGACTTTTTGCCCAGTATATGTGTCTACCAAAATGGTCTGTTTTTCCGTTCTGATATGTGAAATAGTAACCTAATGCTCCCCAAAGACAATTATCTGTTGGATTGCCTGTATCTGGATCAATAATATCTGAATTATCCAGGTTGATAGTACATTTTTTATTGGTGAGCTTTTTGGGGGTGGGGATGTATGATCCTCCAAGAGCATGACGAAAAGTATAAGATTCAATTAATATCATCTCAATTCAAAGAAGGATCTTGCCAGATTCTTCTTTTAGATATGATTCGATCTTTTTATCAATTTCTACTTCAGAAAGAGTTATGTGCTCATCTATATATTCCTCAAAAAGGATTTCACGCTGTAAGCCTCTATGGTATGGATAGTGATAACTGATTTCATAGTTTGTTGGGTTTGCAATATCACTAGAATCTTTATAAATATATTTTGCATATGTAGCATGTACGACCAGTGCTGATTTTATTTGATCTTTTCTGCAAAGCTCTTCTTGGAGAACGCCTGTAATTACCTCATGTGATGAAGCCATAAGCTGTGGCATGTATAGAGCATCTGCATATTCTTTTAAATTATCCTGCTTTTTATTGAAAGCATATGCAGGATTTTTACATGAAGAAATGGTTCTCTCCCATACTGTCATATTTTTTAGTAAGTGATGTTGTCTGTCAGAATCACTTTGCCTTTCTAAGAATACTATATCCCCTTCAGGAGGCTTAACCTCTATTTCATTATCAACTTCTTTATAAATCGATCTGAAATGTTTTCCAGAAGCATATTCCTTTTCTAGTTCGTATTCTTGTCTTCTAGCAGGTGGAAGGTTCACTATACACTCCTGCCTATTCCTTTCTTCTTTTTCTTTTATCTCATTTATTGTTGAAAGCCTAGCTTCATCAGGATCATGTTGTTCCTGATCCCATTTTTCATCCTCTTCATTAGTAATAAATTTCCTACCACTTGGGTCTACAAATACTGTTTTAAACTACTCTATTTTTATACAAGGTGGGTGCTTCCATTGCTTTTCTTCTCTATGTGTTTAGATAGCTGGACTAGGATCTGCTTCCTAATCATGAATATTCTCATTAATCATATTCACTAGAGGGTTAACAGGCTTTGGATCAGTTTCTTGGTCTATAACCTGTGGAACAGTAGCTTGCTTGGGGGTTGGTTGATTAATTTTAGGTATAATTTTTTGATGACATTGGAATTGTCTTTCTCAATGACGTCTAAGTTTCCATAACTTGGGAAAGTTTTTACCACATCTATCACAAGTATAAATAACTATTATAGTATTACAATTACTATATAACACTTATAAAATTTCTTTCTTTAATTAATTAATTGTATATACCTCGTAGGTTTTACGTTTCTAAACACTATCAGAGGTTATGCTCTAGGGCTCTTCAGAATGTTAACTATGTTATTAAAATTTTGGTACCTACCTGAAATTTTGGTATTCTTAAACCTTGTATGCCCAGATATTTTGGTATCTCA